CAGCTGTTCCTGGTCCCATCTGAGGTTCCCGGCCTCAGCAAGGAGGGACTGACACTGCCAGCCACTGGGCGCGCCTCCCACACTCCCTGGTTCTGCAGGTGGCCCAGCCCAGAGCCACGGCTGCCTCCAGCCCTCAGCGCTGGGCTGATGTCACTGTGCCAGCTCTCCCAGCCTGTGGCCTCCCAACCATCTGGCCACCCCAATAGCCACCCACAGTCATCACCCAACCTGACGGGGCCTATCAGCTTCCTCCACATTAGGCTTCTTGCATGCCAGGGCATGCTCTACTGCCTGGTACCACTACCCAGCACCACCCGGCTGTCCCCTCTCAGGCTTGTAACCGACACTTCCTTGGATCCAGGGCTGATCCCACAGGGCCCCCTCATCCTGCCGGGCCAGGGCAGCAGCCCTGTCACTGAGAGATTGCTGCTGACGGGCTCAGCTCCACCCCTCAGAGCCCACAGCCATCTTCCTCGTGCAAAGGAGCCTCACACCCCTCCTTTGAACCCTTCCCTGTCTGCCTCCAACAGCAGCAGAGGCCCCACCTGAGTGCCCACCACCAGCCCAGCACCGAGCTTGGGACCTCGCGGAAACCCCGTGGGGGTCAAGAACTGTCTCCACTGAACAGATGAGGAAACCGAGGGCCACGGTTTTCAGGACAAGGCCCACCCCTAGTCACTGCAGCAAGGCCGTCCTTATTCTGGATGAGGTTTCGAAATCTGGAAAGTAGCCAGGCCCCACTCAGAGGCTGTGGTTCAGAAAGTCCGGTTGGAGGACAACGCCCCTGTATTGGCAGGCCTCGCCCCCCGAGGCCACTCTGAGAGGCCTGGGCTGCCTTGGCCCTCACTCCTACATCTCACTTCCTAGCACCCTGCCATACCCTTGCCCGCTCCGGGTGCTGAAGGCACTCCCCAGTCTTGACCCTGTCCCCTTGCCCTGGCCTTCTCTACACTGGCGCTCTCTCCTCCTCTGCCATGGACACCGGGCTCCCCACCCTGTGCAGGGAGGTCAGGGTCGCAGATTTCAGCAGCTGCACAGGGGCCTCTGACTGACTCAGCTGCCTCCCACAGGGCAGGGCCTGCACCCAGGGGCAGGCATTCAGATGTTCCTAGAATGCCGGATGTGACCTGCGCAGATGGGAGCCTCCCACTGGCCCACGCACCCACAGCCAAACCATCTACCTGGAGGAGGAGAACAGGCACGGCATCATGCGGGTGAGCACTCGGGAGGTTGCCCACTGCAGCCACTGGAGGTCCTCAGGGATATCCGGGAGCCACATCACCAGTCTGCGGGAGCGAGACCAGGCCCGCGGTGAGCACGAGGCACGCGCGAGCACTCATCGGATCAGCACGGAGACCAGCCGAAACCAAAGCGCGACAATGACTAGACACGAAGCAGTTGTCCTACAACCGTGTCTGGGAGCTGCCAGCGGCACCTCTCACCCCGTCTGACGAATTGCCAGAGGTGAATTTGGGAGGTTACAACAGAGACAGCCCACTCATAGTCCCTCCAGGAAAATGAGGCTGCTCTTGGTTCGAGAAAGCCCATGGGACTCATGAGAACCAAGGGGAAGGCCCTGGTCTGCCAGAGCTCCCCCCTCACAGAGAAGCTGCTCCCCAGAGCCTCGCGGTCAAGGCCTGCCCTGGCTCCCAGGCCTGCGGGCTGTGTCTCTGGCCAGTCTAGCAGAAGCACGAGACTTCTAATACCCCAGCCACTAAAAGGACCCTCACATGTTTCTGACAAAAACATAGAGCCCAACCCAGGGTTAGGAGGGCATGGGGCGGAAGAGACTGATTCTGGAGGGGGTGTAGCGGAAATCTGGAAACCTTCAAGGAAGAAGAGGGGCTGAGTTCTGAAGGAGGGGTTGGACTTTAAGAGATGGACTGAAGGACATGCCAGACTAACTTGCTAAATGGGAGGAAAACACTGGAGCGCAAAGTGAGCCCCCAGGACTCCAGCACGTGTGTGCACACGCACACACATTTGATACACGTCCATTTGGTGTGTCATGGATAAAATCCCAAAGCACATGCACAGACAAGAGGTGATAGGTGTAGAAGAGCAAGGAGAAAGGAGGCGGGTTGGCAGGGTCTCCAGTGAGCAAGAGACTTCAACAGATTACTGGGCCCAAGGCGGCGGGTGTGGGGCTGATGAGACAGGCAGAGCCTGACCCCCCCACCCCCAACCTGCAGAGCTGGAGTTTACCACCAGAGCAAGGCCTGATGGGCTCAATTAACCCTCCAGGGAGAGGAAAAGCTTTTGGTAAAGAAGTGGCCTTCCAAACAGACCTCCTTCTTTTGGCAGCAGAAGTCCCCCCAGCCTGGCAGTCACCACCTGGGAGTTCTGCCAGGTGATATACCTACTCCTACCACACCATGCTGCTATGCAGGGAGGAGACCTGGCTGGAAGCCACAGTACAGGAGCCCAGCCCCTCCATCCTTTGTGTCCATATGGGAATTGAGGGCCACCTGGAACAGGCCAAGAATGAGTGGCATAAAAGAGAAAGACGAGGGACCAACAGATGACGTAATGGCTATGTAGCTAGACTCCCATGTAGTAGTCGACCACGGCTCGAGTCCCAGACCTGGTGGCTTAAACTCACGCCAGGCGTGTGTGTGTGCGTGCCCAAGATCCCGAGAGAAGAATAGAGAAGGGATCGTGGCATGGCCATCCCTCCTGAGGGGTGATTTCTCGCTTTCTGTCTCTCTGTCTCTCTCTGTCTGTCTGGTAAGTGCACATGCCCTATAGCAAAAAACTCTCAAAAAAAAAAAAGAGAGAGAGAGAGAGAAAGACGAAGACAAATAGAAAAACTGAGCCAAGAAAAGATCATTCTGAAAGCAGCAAATAGTCTAAGACAATATTACATCTATCAAACAAGAACAGAACACTAAAAAAAATAACAAGGAGAGACTAGAAAAGGACTCTTAGAGACCAAATTATTTGCTGAAATTAAAAACTAGAGTAAGACTAAAAGACAAAATTTGAGGAAGTCTATCAGAACAGAGGCAAAAAGAGAGATGAAAAATATAGAAAAAAGAGCAAGTCAGAGAGAGAGGAATTTAAGCCAGTAGGCATACTTTACTAGTAAGAGCTTCAGAAAGAGGAAAAAAGAAAAGAAATCATAGAATAACAAGAGAAGACAATTTCCCGGAGCTAGAAAGATAACAGGCTTAGACTGAAAGAGTCCGCAGTGATTATCCACTTGAATGAGTGAAGGGAAAAAAAAGACATCCAGACGCAGCCTTATGAAATTCCCGACCATGAGAGACAAAGAGAAAGTCCTAAAAGCATTCACCCTGCAAAGAAGTGAGAATTTGACTGGCCCCAGACTCCCCACTACCAACTCTGGGTGGCACTATGTCTCAGTTTTCTGAGAGACGATGACTTTCGGCAACACCCTACAACCTGCCAATCAGATGGAATTGAAAGCACACACCCTTTAATATGCATCAAGTCAAAATGCTTACTTCCTTTTGACCCCACTCTAGAAAGGCAGGCGATTAAGCTAAGGAAAAGGCAGATAAGGAGTCCATGAAGCCGTGAGTTTGGGAGGGAGGTGGCAGGATGGGGCCATGTGGCAGACATCCGGGGCACCCATCCAGATGGAGCTGAGGACAGAGGACACCTCAAGGGGCCCGTACAACTGGCAGGGCCAGCTCTTCCAGATCATCATAAAAAGCAACTGCTGGTGGGTTAGCTCCCTCCTTTGTCCTTTTTAGAGAGCAATTCCCTAGGAATCCAAATCCCACTCTTTGAAGAGCCTGGAATCTGAGATTATTTGCATAGCTCAAGTTAAAAGGCCAAGTCCAGGGCCAAGTACCTGGGGTACCCGGGGGGTGCGTTGGGGGGTGGGGGCAGTGACCTCTTCTCAGCAGGCAGGTCAGCTCTCACACCCACCGCCACCGCCTTGTGCTCTCAAGCTCTTTGATTCTCCCAACCCTCAAGTCCCTGCAGGTCCTGTACCCCATTCCCAATGCCTCTTGGTTCAAGTTTTTGTTTTTATTTTTGTTTTTCAGTAAGACCAGAGTAATTTCATTTTTTAACCAAGTGCCTTTCATTTCCTGACAATGATCTAGACTGAACAGAATAAAATCACTGAGGCTCAGAGAAATTGAGAGACTTGCCTGAGGTCACACAGCTTAGAAACTCCATCTATTTCTAAAGCCCAGGATCTTCGTACCAGTCAGCTAACTTTCGCTACCCTTATCTGAAAGCAGCAATCAGCTACTTCACTACCTGGCTGCTTGGGCCCTCAGAGTCTCCTGACCATGCTCTCGGTCTGGCTGAATCAGGTTCGTCCCCAAAGCTCCATGTTTTGGAATCTGGTGTGGGAGGTGGTGACGCTAGGGGTGGTGACTGGCTCACGGTGACTGCACTGTGGAGGGGACACTTGTGAATAGGTTAGTGATGCCCCGTGAGACTCGATGTGAGAAAGGGTTGGTTCTGTGAGAGCTGGCTGCTACCAGGGACAGCCGCCCAGCTCCCTCCGTGGGCACCCGCCGTCCTCTGCTCCCCTCCGTCTTGCAGCAAGCCTGTGCCCTTGGACTTCCTGGTCACTGGAGTGGTGAGTTTTATAAACAAAACCATTTTCTTTTCTTTTTTTTTTTTGAGAGGTTTTGTTTTTTTGGTTTTTTTTTTTTGCTGTAGAGCGCGTGAGCTCACCAGAAAGAGATAGAAAGCGAGAAATCACTCCCAGGGGGGATGGCCACGTCACAGTCCCTTCTCCATTCTCCTCTCGAGATCTTGAGAACACACGAACATGCACCCAGCGTGAGTTTGAGCCACTGGGTCAAGGACTCAAACCACAGTCATGGGAATTCAGCGACACAGTCATTACGCTAACTGCTGGTCGGCGTTTTTCTGTTAGCAGCACAATGTGGACTGAGTTGCTCCCACCTCCTAGATGTGCTGCCGCAGAGGTGAGTCTGGTTGTGCCGGGTCCCACAGCAGTGGTTTGAGGTGCAGTCAGGAATTGAACTGGGGCAGTCCGCCTCCAGCAGGCTGAGGAGCACTCTGGCACTCCACTGGGATGTCCTAACGCCTGACTCCAAATCACATGAACACACTGTGCTGGAGAAAAGGCAGAATCCCTCCGCTCTGCCACCTCCTGTGTCTGAAAGGGAAACAGGCCGAAAGGGCAGGAGGGACCTGCCAGCTCTGTGACCTCAGCACTGTGATCCCAACTTCTCTGAGCCTCGGTTTCCCCAACAACCTCCAGAGTCTAAACTGGCTGCTCCATCATGGCCCTGCCAGCTCCAGGAGTGCTCAGGGCATTTCTGAGCCTGCACTGACTTACAGGGGCACATGGCGGTAAGGACAGCCCAACTTTCAGGGTGCCGCTGAGAGCCTGTCAGCCAGGCCCGGGCAAGGGCCTTCCCTCCACCTCTGACCTCGTTTAACCTCCCCACAAGCCCTGAGGAAGTCACAAAGCCACAGACAGCGGCGATGGCAGACTCCACGGGCAGGGTGCAGGGCAACATCATGTAGGACATGATCCGGACGGGCCACAGGTCGCACACCCTGCTCATGTACCCGCCTCTGTCTTTAATGGCTTTGTTCAGGGCTGCACGAGACAGTGTGGAGGTTCAGTGTGAGCAACCACCCTACCCTGCGGGTGCTCAGAACCCTGAGAGTGCACTAACCCGGCAGCCAGTGTTGGTGCGTTCACGAATGCAAGCTGGGGAGGTGGGTCCAGGGCTGCTCCTTTCATGGGGAGGTGCAAAGACCCAATGGGGACTGCAGCCCAGCACAGCCTCAGCACACAGGAGCACCTCTCTCCAACTGGCCACTGTGTTTGGAGTAGCCGAAGGCCCCGTGCCCCCTCTGCACCCCTCAAGCTACATCCATCTCCTCCTGGCACCCCGCCTTATGTTTCCAACAGCCTTACAGTGCCTCGAATCTCAGCCTCGCAGTGCCTCCGATTTCCCTCACCAGGGCAGCGTTAGCAGCTCAAGGGCCAGGAATTCTGCCTCATTGTCTTTGAATTTCTCCAAACGACTCAGAAGCTGGTCTGTGGGTTTACCTGTCTGTCCGTCTGACTCATTCCCTCCAGGCTGCTAGTAACAGAACACCGCAGACTGGTGGCTTGGAAAGATTTCGGCCCCCCGTGGTGCAGTGTAACACTACACGCTGCTACACTGAGGCTACCGGGGGAAGCCATCCGTCAGCGTCCTGTACACGCCACGGGCACGTCCCGTACACACCAGCCATGATCTTGACTGGTAAGACTAGGAGTGGATTGTGGCATAAAGACCGTGTTAGGGGACCAGCAGATGGCATAATGGTTACGTCACTGGACTCCCACATAGTTGACTGAGGTTCGAGTCCCGGACACGGCAGCTTAAAACTCACTCCGGGCGCGTGTATGTGTGTGCCTGAAGTTCCAAAAGGTGAATGGCGGAAAAGGGACTGCGGTGTGGCTACTCTCCCTGGGGGGCGATTTCTCGCTTTCTGTCTCTGTCTCTCTGGAGAGTGCACATGCCCTACAGCAAAAATCCCTCTAAGAAGAATAAACAATAAAGACCCTGTCAGAAGTCTCTTTCTTTCTTTTTTTCCTCTCAGAAGAAATAAACTTTAAAACATAACTAAAATGCCCGGTTCTCCTGAATTAACATCTAAAATAAAAAAAATTAAAAAAATTAAAAGCCCCAACCATGGTACCCGAGTGATACAGTGTGTGTGAGGCCGGGGCCACACGGGAGGCCCGGTTTGGTTCCTGGAGCGGCCTGAGCAGGTCAGAGTGGTGCCACATGCCTGTGCCTGGCTTGCTGGGAGGCTGGGGTAGGGGCAGTGAGGCACTGCCAGGCACAACCAAAACTTCCTCTGTCTCTCTCAATAAAAACAAAACAAACAAAAGCCAAAGCCACACACACACTTACTTTCCACAGTTCTAAAAGCCGAAAAGCCCAAGGTCAAGGTGCCTGCAGGAATCGCGGTGGCTATGAGGGGGCTTGCCCAGACAGTGCCCTCTGTGTCCACAGATGGTGGAACATCTTGGGAGGGGGACCTCTCGAGGGCCTCCTTTATAAGGGTGCTGATCCTGTATGAGGGCCCCCATTAGGCCCCACCTCCCAACACCAACACCCCGCGGGGTAAGAATGTGGTAGGAACCGGGACACACCACCATTCAGACCACAGCACTGTCGCCCAACACCTGTGACGTGAGAACTCAGCACCATTCAGACCACAGCACTGTCGCCCAACACCTGTGACGTTAGAACACACACACCATTCAGACCACAGCACTGTCACCCAACACCTGTGACGTGAGAACACACACACCATTCAGACCACAGCACTGTCGCCCAACACCTGTGACGTTAGAGCACACACCACCATTCAGACCACAGCACTGTCACCCAACACCTGTGACGTGAGAACTCAGCACCATTCAGACCACAGCACTGTCACCCAACACCTGTGACGTGAGAACTCAGCACCATTCAGACCACAGCACTGTCGCCCAACACCTGTGACGTTAGAGCACACACCACCATTCAGACCACAGCACTGTCACCCAACACCTGTGACGTGAGAAC